ACACACACACACACACACACACACACACACACACACACACACACACAGACAGACAGACAGACAGACAGACACACACACATGCCCATGCATTATCTGATGAGTGAGGGCAGACGGGTGCGGCGTCTTAGATAAGCAAAAGACTGAAAAAAACCTCCCTGTCTTCTCTGGAATGCCGTGACGCGTGATAAACACATTCAAACATCCAAATTGCAGACTCAAAACACCTAGATTAAATGTGGAATTTTCCAGAATTTCCAGTCCGTTTCATGGGAAAGCCTTTGCTCTCAGCAACAGTGGTTCTCTTTCTCACCTTGACCCATAAAGGCCCCTTGCAGGGCATCCTTTGCACTACCAAAGCCGAGTTCTCTGCACACCACACTGGCTGCAGGTCTTTCCCACATGTGGTCCACAATGGTCCCCCACTTTCCGTCCCGGAGCACCTCAACGCGACCCTCGCCCAGCCTGGGGCCAGCCTTCAGACGCACGGGCTGTACAGGGCAGCAAAGGGAATATATCTTATCGTTATGTGAAGTTCATGAACACTGTGTATGATTGTGCCAGTGTAGTACTGTATTAATCTTACCACAGCTGGGTAGGGGGCCTGGGGTCTTCCTGAGGAGATGCGAGCAAACTGAGGTCCTGGCACACACTTCACCACTGCATGTCTCCCGTTCTTACAAGGACTGGGACTACGGGGGATGGACAGCTGAGCAAGACACTCTGACAGGCTGTTCTCAGTACCCAGACAGTGAACCTTTTCTACCCAGAATCCCTTCTTCTTTGACATGATGCTCAATCTAGAAAGAAGAGAAAGTTTGTGGTCATATAGTCTTTATTAATGCTCAATAACATTTAATGTCCGTGAATTAGCAACACTCAAAGTTAAAGTTCAGAGAAAAACATCCTAAATAATTGTTAATTAGGAGTTTAACATTCAAAGACCACTAAAGGCTAATCTGCTTCTTCAGAACTGGGTGGGTTTGGTTTGATCAGATTTGATTGACCGTGCTGGCAACATGACAACAACCAAAACATTAATCACATCTGAATTCAACTCTGATTAGTGCACAAATGTTGTGTTCATGTAGGACCTCATCACTCATTGTTTTTCAGCACTCACAGGTTTTCGGGGGCTTTAAATGAAGTTTGACTTGTTAGGTCTGACAGTATCTCACAGAGCTATAAAATGAGTGATGTCAAATATAGCTTAGAAACATGAGGTTGTCTTTTTATTACCTTGTTGAAGGATCTGCAACCTTGGTATCCCATATTTTCCTGTAAAGGAACCAAAGAACAGATGTTAGTTCTGTATATTTGCTGAGGTTACAAACACACATACACACATATCACCCTGTGAGGTGACCTGGGTCACTCATTTCTTGTTCAAAGTGGAAGTGACTGTAGGATATATACTGTAGCATCTGCTGTTTGTTTTATATGTAACCTGGCCACACAGGAGGGATTTCTGCCACGGCGAGTAGCGGCACAAACACATACACACCAACTTGCTTATTACTAGAGGAGTGTTCTTACTGGGGCACTTTGTGATGACTTAAAATAGTTACAGCTCAGACACAGGCCTTATCAAAAGGATGAATCATACAGCTCCATATATAGCTATGCGTGCAGCTTTGTGGTGAGTGTAAAGTTAGATATATTGATGAAGATGACTGGTAGTTCAAGGAAGAATGCAATGTTCTTGTTCTCATTCAGCAACTTCACTTCCTGTCTCCCTTTCTTGCTTTATAGGTTGAGTAGCATATATTTCCATCTGGAATGTGGGCTGCTTGCTATTTACTGTGTTGTTATGTTGAGAGTAAGTGGCCGGTGTATCATATGTTCCAAAGGTAACAGTACTTCCTGTCACCAACATACGGGTACGTGTTGAACAGGAACGTGCTGTTGGGTAAGTTTTATCTAAATTACATTAAATAAAATGAACTTGCCTTTTAAACTAACATAGACCCTTTGAATATAAGACTTCAGCATTCCATGTTGCAATATCACAGAGCTTTGCACTAACTACAGGATGTAAGAGCTAAAAAAGGATTTACAAAAAAAATTAAAAAGATATTTTGAACTATGACGCTAACCTCCAAAGGCACACGCAGTCCAAAAAATCTTGACATTCAACATCAGTGATGTATAACATTTCTGGGAAAACAAACAGGGTTTGACCAAGCACGATATACAAACAAAGAGTCTGGCAGCACGTTGCACGTCCGAGAAATGCCAGAACCAAATAGAGATTTATGCACCAAGTGCGCTGGCAGACTCGGTAGAGTGGTGGAGAGGAAAGCCTTCTGTTCTCTTGGCAGACACGCAGAGCAGACATGCCACACAGACCATGCCAGTACATCCTCAAACCACTGCAAAGTGCAAGCACCATCACAGACATTCACATCAATTACACCAAAACACCACACACGAGACACACATGCTACGGCCTGCCGGATATTTTAAAGGGGCCGTTATCGGCCCAGTATTAGTACATCACAGATATACCAATGAAATAAAACTGTAGCTTCATAATGCATTAGGTACTTTAGAGACTAACATTTAGGACTGTCTTCGACCAAAGAAATTCTGTCGACTAACACTCGTACGTTTTTGTCGACTGATCGTCACTTGACTAAACCGACAGATCTGTCCGTGGAGCAATTCGGGGTTCAGTGTCTTGCAAATAATCAGTTGACAACCCTCTCTACCCTCCTGAGCCACAGTCGCCATTTTGTCCAACCATTGCCCAGAATATCTAGCCTATAATGTTCACTGGGCTCCAAGTACGTACAACTGGCGTTCATTCAAATGAGCTGGTGAGGTGGAGTTTCCATTAAAATATCTTGTACAGCGAAGCAGGCACATATTTTCAATCTCTGTAGAGATGTATATCAGCATGGCACCACAGGTGTGGGAGGCTTAGATGGTTTTCATTTTTTGTGGTTCATTGACACAGTAAAAAAAAAAAAACCTCATTAAAAATACTCCCATGCTGATTTTAGTGGCATTCCCCTTTAAGAAAACAAACACGTCTAAGGATATTTGTATGAAAGTACAGGTAGATAAATATTTGATTTTCTGACACGAACTCTAGACATTCCCGTAAAGCTAAAGCCAAACAAGAATGTAAAACAAACTGAGGATGTTGGAATCAAGAGCAGCATTGTCTTCCACATGATGTTAGGTGGTTGTGTGAAGTCATGGACTGCTGACTGAAAACTTTCCAAAAATCACACAACAACCTGTTTCCTGACGCTGTAGTCAATGAGCCAGAAGAGACCTCTCATCAAAGATATGAACATTTTGTCAGGAAAAATACTTTAAAATGTGCGTACTTTCATGTCAGCAATCATTTAGCAAATAAGAGATGTTTTGCAAAGCACACGTGCTAGTTTTGAACAACACCATTCAAATGGACTTCAGGTCATTTTCCAGGCCCATTTTGGGCACAAATGCTGATTAAATTATGAACATCTGTAAATAAAATCTCAATGTTTGACTTGATGAAGCAGAAAAATACCCTAATTTTAAGTCACACGCAGGGGTCTAAATAAAGCCGTATGTGGGGTCACGAGACCTGCTGACACGTATAGAATTTAACACTCATTCTTTACAGTGTCTTGAATTTCACTTGTAAAATATCTTAAATGTGTCTACCATGTGGCTCTGCAGTAACATGCCGGATAGACAGTGAGGAGCATGCACACACACACAGTTTCCCATGAGGCAAACATGTCTGTGACTTGTTTGTGACCTCACCACAGACCAATCAGCTAACCATGTTCCCTCTTCAGAAACCAACAGCACTACTACAAGCTATAAATGATACCTTCAGCCTTCAGGTCTTTCATTTGACTGAAGCACTGTTTGCTGTTTAAAACTTCTTTCAAGACAAAACAATGCTTAAATGTCACCTTTTGAATATATAAAATCAAATAATTAAAAAGGATGTCTTTCTCTTAGTTATAAACTAGTTCTATATAAATACATGTAACTGGAACAGGTATTAGCACAGTATGACAGCATTTCTCTACATGCTGTGTACTGACAGCCTCTTTTCACCTCCATAGCATTCATCAGCCTTGTTTAAGAACGCAAACAGTGTTTCCAGCACTTGTTGTGGAGCCAAGAGACAGAGGCTAATGATAGGGAGTCCCACCCGCCTGTTAAAGACAAGCGTTACACCACTGTCAGGGTTGCAGCACCCTCACACTGCTCACTGGCTTTGTTTCTATAGGTCTTCTGGTTTTAATGTAAAAGATGAAATCAGATAAAATCTATTTTTTATTTAAAAATGCTTAAAAAACAATGCTATAAAAATCCGGGTGCAAATCAGATTTAAATTTAATTTGATGTTTTCCTTTTAAAAACCTTGCTAGTTATAGCTGAGAAAATTGTCATTAACTACAAACGTTGACCCTTTTATACACTATGCTAGGAGTACCAATAATGCTACAATATGTGACCATTATACCTTGGTTTACAGGATCCTCAGCTCATTAGGTATTAAAACGCCTGGAAATGTATTTTGCAGTACACATCAAGGCGTTATCTTAACAGTGGAGCTAACGCTCAGCTAAAGAAACATGAAAAGAGAGCCAAGATAAAACAGAGCATACTGTTGCCAATAAGAAATATTTTAGAAGATTTGCTTTTGCCTACTTGAAGTATATTTGAGGCAGATCTCTAAATATTCCCATGCAGACCAGAGTGAGCTGAGAACTACGTATGCTTCAACCCAGTTTTCAAAGCCGGTTTTCGGTCTCTTCCAGATCACAAAAATAGCCACCGGCGTGCGTACTGAAATTAAAAGATGGTGAAATAAATTAGAGAGAAGGTCATTGAGGAAGATCACACAGACATCAGACAACAAAGCCAGACTCGGTCGCTCAAAATGTCACACACAAGCCTGAAAATGATACCCTCATCATAAGAAAATTTCAGCTGAAACATAATTTAAAAATAAAATGCCGGTTAAGTCCCCAAATCACTACGGTGACAGAGGAAGACAGACAGCTGCTGACACAGCGGGCCGCGCTGTAATTGGACATATTTCACACGAGCAAGCGAAAATCTGGCTCGTCTGACTGCTGCTCCTGTGCTTTCTCTCCATCTCCTCTTTCTCTTGGTACTCTCTTCCTCCTCCTTCGCCAGCTATGTCTTACTCTCTCTCTCTCTCTCTCTCTCTCACACACAGCTATAATTGAGGGTGTATTTTTTTTTCACTCTCAGCAGAAACCCAGGAGAGCCTGTTCCTGACCAACCTGTAATTACATCATCTTCAGAGTCTCATCCAAGAGACACAGGGAGGCGAGAGACATGGCATGGTCCGGGATTTCTAAGAATGGACTGAGAGACTTGGAGTAAGGTGGAGAAACATGGGGGAGTGTCACTGGCTAAATTTGGTCAAACCATGCAATACAATCCTAAGCTTTTCTGGCAACTGTTTATATGTATATATATATATATATATATATATATATATATATATATATATATATGTGTTACATGAAAACTGAACATCATATTGTCTCGCACCCAATTGTTTCTCCTTAACTCTGCTCACATTTTGTACAGTCATTATAATAACAGTGGCAATTTCAGTCGGAGGGCAATCCTTACAATTACCCATAAGTAAAGGCTAGAACAGCTTTACCTGTATTTCAAGTATTCTTCTGGTTGTAACTGTAAGTTGTATATAAACATCCCTGGTAAAATAACAAAGATAAGGTTTCATCCTGAAAACTCACTACTTTAAGATAACTTGATACCAGGATATTACTAAAATAACTTCTCACTGGCCGCTAAGACGTTGAGGCATGTGTACACCTCGAACCAGTTTGAAGTCAAAAACACGTATTGAGAGACAAGTATGCATCTGTGGAGATGGAAAACAGGTACAGATTTGGAAACAAACACATCATCGTGGTTCAAACCAGCATAGCGCCTGAGGCTATACAGCAAAACACCAGGTCATACCCAGGACAGGCAGACCGAGATGTATCAAGTCACAACCGCTTCCATGCCAGAGCCTTATAATTTACACGCACAATAAGAAAAATCCTTGTAATGGCATCAGTGTACATTTAGAAGCAGATATGTTGGATTAGCACTTTGTTGTGGCTTCGGTTAGAGACTGAAAGAGCCCATGGAATGCTATTGTTTACGTTTTTTCCTCCCTTGACCTTAGGAGGAGATTTAAAAACAAAACTGAGCAGATTCCCTGCAGGCTTCAGTCCAAGTCCTTCAAGCTACAGCAGCCCTGTCCTCCTCTGTCATATCTCCCTTCTTGGTGGGCAGCCAAATCTCTTATGTGACATCCATACAAATCCACCCATCTAATTCCTCACTCAACTATTACTCGCAATTCGTATCTCCCACTGTTTGCATTAGGTGGTGAATCTGTACTGCGATAGAAAATCGAAGAGAGGCATAAAAAGCATCACACCTGCAATGCGGGAAAGCTGTGCTCTAATAAATGATCCTGTACAGAGTCAGGCCAGGCTGTTTGACCACAGCTCATCCTGAGGATCTTTTATTACTGAAGATATGATTCCTGAGGATGCCCTCTTCCAACAATAGACTCCAGTTATAGCGTCGCTGTGTTCCCAATAACAGAGTTCAACGCAGACGGCTTAATTCAAGGGCAATGCAGAAATCCTTTCAGTGAGTGAGTTCCAATAGGGATGTTTGTAAAGTCAGTAAAAAAGTTGGAAAAGTCTATAAAACAAATTAGTTACCCCCTCAACAGCTACAGCTTTCTAGTACAAATAGGAATCTAGCACCTACAGAACAGAGCAGATGTTGCGGTCTGTCGCCAGTTGAGTCAGAATAACCCCGGCCAAGAGAGGGAAGGAATAGCTTAACTGTGAATCACCGAGCCGGCGGCGCTCCAGGAACCAGATCCAACTGGGTTCCCCTTCCACCGAGAGCGGTCAGACACTATTCATTCTTATAATAGCAATGGAGTAACTGTGGAGTAATTCTCTGCTAATGTGTGGTCCTCCTGTGGTAGAAGACCAGAACCGTACCAAAATCCACTGTCAGTGGGTTTTTTTCAGCAGGAAGAGAGGAAGTATAGAAGGAGACACCTAAATACAATGCATTTAAGTACATGTCTCGTTGGAGAAGTGTTTCCATGAGAGAATGCACTGATCCATGCTGAGGCTGGGAATTAGGACCTCAACACTTTAAAGAAGGAATGGGTTGACATTTTGGGACAATCACACTCTTGTCAAGAAATAGAAAAGATTGATAGCACTCTCACATCTTTCAAAGACAGGAGGAAGGAGGAAACCGCTATCTTGGCTCTGTCCAAAGGTTTAATAACAAGCAAATGAGTGTATTTTCCAAAATGTCAAACTATTCCTTTCAGTGGCAACCGACGTGTCTGTAGCACTGAGTATCAAAATGTGCCAAAAGTCCCAAAATCATTGTTGTTTAATTATCCTTGAATAAGCTTGGTTTTGAATTATAATTTTCGTAAATTTAAGAGTGTGCTTTATTTAGGAAAGTTCTCCTTTGGTTGCTTTATCTTAAGGCCAAATTGAACACTGATGAATTGAGAACTGAGAAACTGAGCAGTTGTGTTGTTAAATACACATTGAGCAAATGTCCATGTTCCCTGAAGTAACGTATTGAAAGAAGTATTGTTTTGGAATTGGTACCAAGACTTAAGTATTATATTGGCAACACTATAAAAATATAAAGATTTCAATGACATCCAGCCCTAGTACATAGATACAACCCATGAAGATAGCATCAGAGGGAGAGTGAGAGAGGCAATGAGGTGAGCAGAGGTGATTTGCCTCGAGAGAGGTGTAGAAAAAGGGCAGTAGAGAGGGGACAGGGATTCCTTTATCATCCTCCTGAGGCTGAGGAAGGCAGGTGGGAGTAAAAGGGGACACAGGGCAGAAGTGGCTGGGGGAGGAAGATAAGCCCAACAAAAGGCTTTTACTCAAAGTGGCTCTAAATGGAATGCCGCATTGTTTTTTTATTCTTCAGGATGAGTTTTTGTCCACTTAACAATGGGATGAATGACAAGCATGTTGCCCTTCTGAACTACAGTCAATGGTGTAGTGTGATCTAATAACCTGAGTTCATACATGAAAATTGTACTCACTTGTATGTTTTCAAATTGTGCTGAGTAGCCTCTGGAAAGCCAAGCATCCCACACACAACTCGGCTGCTGTTGAGACTCCAACCCAGGTCACAGACCTGCCTCCATCTCCCAGCATGCTTCACTTCCACCGCACCCTCTGTGATTATGCTCTTCTTCTTGGTAGCCATGAGGATGGGACGCAGACGGACTTCCTCGATTTGCACCTTACTGTGACCCTTTGGAAAGATACACATCACATCCATTGTTACATGCCTTTCTGAGAATAGCATCGTAATGTATTAGAATTAAACTGCTGTACCTGGTGGTGTCTTTGGAACCTAGGGATCTCCTGCTGATGTCCGTTTCCATTGTAGGCATATCCTGGACGCGTGCGGGTGGCCACAAGACCCTGCCACTGAGGTGCAGGGCTGCCATTGGGCCTGGCAGCAGCGGGGGTGTGGCCTATACTGGCTGTCTGGTCCAGCCTGCGCTCCGGGTTGCACACCACCCCCAAGTCTTCAGAGTGTTTACAGTCATTCACGCCCCAACCGTTGTGTTTGCAGTCCTTCAAGGACATCTCTGAGCCGTCACAGCGTACATTATCCATCCATATGGGGCCTTGTGAGAGGATAAACAATTATTACTTTATTCAGTGTGACTTTCATTGATTGTTCAATAGACAGACTGGGCATTGCATCTACACAAGGGCCCGAATCAGTTCCTAAACATCTAACACTTGACTTTTACTGGCACGCTGATTTAAGGTTGCACCTTAGCGGCGTGTTTAGCAGTAGATACACAGTATTTTACAAGGCAGGGTGCTGTAGATCCTGCTCCTTGAATCCACTCAACCTTCTCTTTAATTTGGATTTAAAAGCAGCAGTAAAGAATGTCTATAAACCACAGCAAGTGTTGCACAACTCTGGCAAGCGAATGCTGTCATTATTCTGAAACAAATGCCCCTTTTGGCCCATATATTTGCTCTGCCAGCCTGCCAGGCAACCTTAACGAGATGTAGACTCCAATCCCACAACAAGTTATCTTGTCACTTTATGATGTTGGTTATTTTGGATGGCTTAATTTGTGGTCTTTTCATGAAGCCTTACATTTAGTGTGCTGTGGGGGAAACACACTGTAGCATTGAAGTTTTGCAGGAGACAGGTCTAATATGGAAGCCTGCCATTGAGTCTTAGACATCTTAAGTCTAATAAATGACAATGATAATCCAACAGGCCTTTTTCAGAGCAGACATTTGGACTCGTGGTGGCAGGAAAAGCACAGGTGTAATTCATACCATTAATGATGGCTCTGTTGTGATCAAGTTTGTCAGTAAGCATTGCCACTGATCCAGCATGCACAATGCAGAGCTTTGAAATGGACTGCAGCCCTACAAACATCATTAATTACACATGTGATTTCCCTGCTCATGGCCTATCATAGCTTGTTTTACACTCACAAGATCGGTGTGGCTTTGGCCATCTGGAAAATGATGACATCTGACCTTACTTCAGTAAAATGTCTCCCTACTGGCTTCATTGTCATTTGGTACAGGAAGTGCTCTCACCTGCTCCCTCTCCGTACTTGGCGCTGTGTGCCCACGTTACACCGCTGCGGAAACCCAGCTCTCGGCACACCACGTTGGCCAACTTGATGTCCACCTCATCGTCGCAGACGGTCCCCCAGGTGTTGTTGTGCAGCACCTCCAAGCGCCCTTCGTGCGGTTCTCGCGCATAGTTGCCCGCCAAACGCACCTTGGCGGCGGGTGCACGAGCCGCCCTGCGCTGAGAGGACGTGGTCCGCCGGGGTTCAGCACCAGCGGGACAGGAGAGGGACAGCAGCAGGAGCGGGAGGAAGCTCAAGCAGAGGGTGCGGGTCATCGTGGCTGAGAGGAGGGGGTCTGCGGGTAGGAATTGACACACTGCATGATTCAATTTATTTTTCCTCCGTTGAATTAATGTTGCAAGTTATTCTACTCATTTGTGTGAAATTGACCAGTGGAGTCATTTAACTTGCTTGTCAATTAATAAGCAGTCCGTTTAAAGTTACAGGCTAATTTTCTCTGTAATAAGAAACGTCTCTCACCACTTTGAGATATATCTCCTGGAACTTACACTACCGAGCATAAAGACTGAGTAATTTCCTTCAGGTTAAACAGCCAGCCAGAAGGGATCCTGCCAGGCCTGGCTGTTAACTGGACTAATGGTGACATCCTCTGGACAAAATAGTTCAGGTAGTTTATTCAATGGCAGAATACAGCCAGCTTATCTTTTCACTGTCGGAGAGATGAGTTGTTCTGTAGTCCCACATTTGATTTAACTCACTAGTGCAGCACCAATTTTGTGATGCAATGCCAGCCAAAACGCGTAAAACGAAAAGGCTTACTTTTCACTCATGTCAAACACAGGCATATAATTACAGATACACCAACGCACTTTTGTATTGCAATTCACGTGAATAAACATCCCCTGAGGCTTACTAACCAGACAGAACCCGAGGCAGGTTTTAACTAGAGGTTAACAAGTGTCACAGCCAAAGGAAAACACAGTGGTGGAGACAGACTGAAACATTAAATCACTGCATGCCACAGAACAGCACGGAGCACAAAATACACAAAATCTGTTTGTTTACTGTGACGATAAAATTATAAAGGAACAAACCAGCAACGAACAAACAAACAGACTTTGCAGACTGGTCTCAGTAAATCATATTTAACAGCAGCTTATATTGTATGAATCCTTCTACTGTATGTCTTTTCTTACTGCTTAATTCAATGTAAGAACAAAATTGTACACAACAAATAATTCCTCTAAAAGTTTGAACTGTGGCAGTATTATAGTTAGCTGATTTTTTAACAGCAATCTCGCTAAAGTACAGAATCCAGAAAGGAAAAGGAGCATCTCAACTGTTACACCTGTTACACTTCAGATGCACATTTATTAAAAAACGAAACAATAAATGGAAAATAACTTATAAATCAAGTGAAAATAAAATAATATTCTTTACCAGGAAAAAATGTAGATGTAGAAGGTAGAAGGTGAAAGTTCACTCACCTGGCAGGCAGCAAATGTTTGCAGTGGTGGACGTCACTAGCTAGGGGAGAGTGACTGAGTGAAGGAGTGTGTCGACTAAATGCTCTCCCTAGTCAATCCTCCCTTCTGCCCTCCTTCTCCCTATATCCCTCCCTCCCGCATGTGCTCTCTTTCCCTCTATATCTTTCTCCCATATAGAAGTGTTGACGTACAGTAATTCAAGTGCTAAAATGTAAAGCTAGTTTATTAGATTGTAACCCAAGTGTCTGCACAATGTTCAATTGTTACACGTTTCCTATGAAATCAAAAGTATTGTGTTTCCTCCACTGATGGAGGATTTGTCATTTGAACTTATACTTTGCTGACATTTGTATAATTCTGGGTGAATACTTTTAAGCACCGCTGTATGAGCTCAGCCGCTCCTCACAGATAAATGAATATGACGGTGAATGTTTGAGAAATGAGTCTCCAGCAACCACAAGACTCATCAGTTTCAGGATGGGGTGTTTAGCACCTCAGCAGAAATCGATTTCATACATTATAAAACTCATTTCATAATCAAATGGTGTGTTTTTCTGGCCTCTCTACGCCTCCCTTCTCCGATATGATGCTTTATGCAACTGCACTCGCAGAGCGTTACAAAACCTTAGGGTGAACGTGTGTAAATCTACCCAACAGGAAGGACTCTGGTTCCAGAATAGTTTCAAACATCAAGCTCCAAGTGTCTTAAAGAAGCTCCCTATACCACAGGGTAGATATTTCCTTGTTCAGATGGCCGCAAACCACCAACTCTAAAATAGGCCCAGCCTCACCGTAGCCATGGTGCACGTGACTGATGAGAATATGCCAAACACCACCCCTGCCCGGGAGTATGTTACCATAGTCTAACCTATCATCATGGTACAGAAAGCATAAAGATTTGAGTCACCAGTGTAGATCCAGATAAAAAATGAGGAAAAAAGTCCTGTTTATGTCTTTCTAACCGAGATCACTTCAGAACATTCCTCCAGATGTGTTCTGAGGCCTTTTCGACGGGTTTGAATCTTGTTTATTTATTTTTTGAGTCCTTTCGGGAAGATTTGGGGCAAATTTAGCTACATAGACATTTTTGGCCTCAGGGATGTTGTGTTGATAAACTGTTTTCCAGTTTGCAAGTTTGCAAGTCAACCTCAGTGGGCACCTCTTTGAGGCAGCACAGTTTATTCATAGACGTGAAAAATTACAATCATGACAGGGGAGGCAGGAACCGAAACATCAACCAAGACTGTAATAACACTTACTAGTATGTAGTGTTCTCACAGGGGGGGGAAAAATAAAAAAAACATACGTTACATATGTGTAGTTGTGTGCACACGTGTAAACTTTGAAGCCGTAATTGAGATATTTGTGTGTGCGACTGATGGTGTGACTGGGTGGCAGGATGGTGGTCCCTCCCTGACTGGTAAACCCGAACAGGAAGAGCTGACCCCCTATTAGCGGCGCCAAATCAGAGGGATCTCCAAGGCCGACAGGGAAAGGAAAAGTTAAAAATATAACTCATTGCTATGTGTGACATTCCTCCATTATAACTTGTGAGGCACTGTTGCGTATCAGACTAATTAAACTAGACCAGACAGGTGTCCCTGCCTGTGTGCCAATACTTAACAGCTCAGAGTGTGTGTGCTGGTGAGAGTGCATTACAGGGCTCACAGGGCTGAGAGTATGTGAGCGAAGCAGCTCTCTGTGGCAGAACCCTCTCTCTTTCTCTCCCTCCACCTCTCTAATTACGCCGACCGAGCCGGCTCTGCCCTTACCCACAATCTGTGGAGGCATGAAATAAATACATGCTCTCCAACAATAAACAAGTGCCTTTTCAAACGACAGCACCTCCTCATGCTCACCCCCACTGCCGTCTCCCCGGGCTTTCATAAATGCTTTTACTTGGAGCATGTTGGCCCATACTGTATAGAGGATATGTTGTACTGGTTAGAGGGCTGAGAGTGCAGAAAGCTACATAGAGCTTGATCTCATTAGATCAAGCATCAAAGGCCAACTTTGCCAGAACTTCTAAGGTATGCTAAATCTAGAGGTAAAGTTTTTATAAAATCACGTTGCAATTTAGAGTGTTAGCAGTGCATACCTTAACTCTGATAGTGGTGGAAAATCCTTAGAAGATACCCATTTCCCCCCCCTTTTTCTTTTTAAAAGGATATGCATGCAATTTCAAAGGGGAACTCCACCAATTTAGTATTGCACTTTCACATCGTCAGAAGAGAGGTCAAAGCATCAGAGCCCAACACAACCCGATTTTAGTTCCTAGAATGAATCGAGCTTGAAAAACTCAATGCGACCTAATAGCATCTGCCATTACACCACCCAGCCAAATTTGTAAATGCCCTTTTATTTTCAAACCCAACACCGATAGTTTTATTGTAGGCGTTCTGTTATCGCATTATTTATAAATTTTGGAGGGCATGACAATTATTTTCTCAGATGAACTTCATGTGAAAATGTTTAATTTGCTGCTTTCAGTTTGCAGCATCTTGACCTGTCACACTTGCATGGACCACACATGCATTCGCAGGTGGCATGAGCCTTTAGTTACTCTCAATTCAAAAGGTCATGTGGGATAATGGTTGCTTTTCCCACACATTCTACATACTGTCATGTCTCCCTCTCCCACTGGTCTGGGTGCTTAGAGATTCCCTAATGCATCTTTCATTGCTGGCCACACAAGTGTCTCCTACTAGTGATGACAGGGTTACCATATTCCTCCCACACCAGCCAGGCCTGCTTTGATTTACAGCTTCTGGGTTTCGAGTATCAGGGATGACTTAGAGGAACTTGGTTCCTGGAAATCACAAAAGACAAATGTGTATGCATTGCATAGGCTTGTTGGTGACATATTTCAGTGCAAACCTTTCAAGTACAACACTGCCACCTAGTGGAAGGCAGGAAAACCACATACATACCCAGAACATTCCTGTTTATGACATATTAGTAGAATAACTGCATTCCTCAGACATTTCTTCCCCAGTTTGTAATATTACTCATGTAGAGACTCAGACATAGGTGGTTCAAATACATTTATTAAATATAAAAGACTCTTTTCGCAGTGCAGTAACGATAATACAAAATATTTGGAAGATTAACAGGATTGCAGTGCTCTGGTTATCAACGTGTATATTATAATTAAAAATGCCTTTTCCTGAAAAAGTTTCAAACAAGGTAAAAAGATGAAAAACATACCGAATAGTTCAAATTAAACTCAGGGAATACTTATGTCCCATTCTGAAATATCCATAAGTAAATAATAATATGCTACAGTAACATCCAATGCATTGTATTAGCCTGCAAAATTGAAAGCACCGCCATTGTTAACAGCACCAGTCCAAAAAGAAACGAGCAAGTTCAACAAGTGCGGTCTTAAAGTTTGGTGCCCAATTCCTTTTTCACAAGTTTTAGCCACGAGACGGAAAGTTAATACGAGAAAAGCAGAAGTGCAGCATGTGACAGTGTTTGCACCAAATGGCTCTTAAAGCCAGGAAGAAACCAAAGAGGGGACTTACCCAAACACTAACAGGCCAGTAAATGAAAAGCTGTATTCAGCTCCTAAGTTCTGTTGTAAAAGAGAAATGGAAAAAACGTCAGCATAAATAAGGAAATAAATACTCTCACTACGCTGTGCATAGTTTACTAGTGAATGTAGTGTGGACCTAAACCAGGAGTTTGTAATCATTATCTAGTGGACGATACAGACACATGCCGATAGGTTTTAATGCACTGCCTAGTGTTGAAACTTATTTTAAAAAACAAGGCTGTTTTAGTGCAGTCATCAGATGAAGCATTCTTTGGTTCACTAAAATACTGAAATGGAGGCCCTACGGTTAAAAACACTGCTTTTTGAGATTCAAAAGTTCTGCGAGTGGATTATGTTACACATGTGGCCATGAATATGTGTGTGTGTGTGTGTGTGTGTGTACGCACGCACATGGCTGAACATGATTTTTAGTAAAGGCACAGTCCTGTAGTATGAACTTTATCAATGGCATTGCCATGTCACAGGCATTAAAGGCGTGTGTATGACTGACACAGAGTTGGCACTTAAACTTTTGCATAGTCATAGAGCAGGTCAGATGTTTCCACTACTTCTTCCATGCCGTACAATGAGTCCTCCGGAACTTGTCACGACAACTCAACAGGCATGCAGTCTGCCTATTCAATCAACAAAGGGGCAGCCGATAGATAAAGTGAAAGATACACCTAGTCCATGCATTAATACAAATTTCAAATCCTCGAGACAACGGTGTAGTTCTTGTGTCTATTTACCCATGTGTGATCATCTTAACTAAGGCTACGTCGCCCAGTATGAAAGGCATCGCTCTGGGCCTGTGGAGCTTATTGGCTAAAAGAACCTCATGTGTGTAGGGGAGGTACTGAAACGCCGTGTAAGTCTGTTGGTAAGTCTTTGGTCTGGCAGACAACGTGTTGATATAGGAAGAGGAACAACAAGTGGGAAATTGAGTACCAGACTGAACCGCAGACTGGTGAGCAGTTGTGGGCCGTGAATAAACCATAACTGTTAAAAATCAGGTTCACAGACAGCAAGTTGAAGTATTGGTCGAGTTACTGTACTTTGAAAATAGGCGGGGGTGGCACTGATTCGTGATGGAATTTCTAAAGAAGGAGGGTCCCTAGGATCATCACTGAAGAACCTGAAAAATCCATACCGAGTCCTTTCATTACTGCGGTCCATGACAGAGCCATTACTTTTCCCCCCCATCGTGGACCATGCAGTTCCTCCTTATGTTGCACGTCTGTGAGGTTAGGTTGTGTCCCCTAAAGCTGGAATAGGTCCCCATGTGCCATGGAAGGCTGCGAATGTGAAGGTTTACATGCAAAACAAAGGACTACACCAGGTCATTGTGTTGCTCCGGTGTTGTTACTACTGAGCGATATCGTTGAGTAAAAGCTTTAGTTGAAATAAAAATCTTCACGCTCCCAGTCCTTTGTGGCACATGTGTGACCATCCCTGCTTTAGAGCCCGAGTGCTGGCTCTGTTCCTTCGACTAGTCCAGTCCATTCTGCATCAGTAAATATAAAATAGCCCAGAGAACCTGGCCCAGTGAGTACCGGCTCCTTTGGCACACTCTGTGCATCCCAGTTTCCTGCACACTACTGAGGCAGAGAGTAAACTGAGCTCAGGGCTGCCAGGGCTTCCTGTCCTTGCCTTTCTGATCAGGAATGTGTTTGTAGCGACATTTGTCCCCAAAATGGCAGCCGGTGGTTCTCCAGAAGTAACACTCGTCTTCATTCACTGGGCCACGTCGTCGAGGTCTTGAAAGAGAGGAAGATAACAATTGAAATGCTATTGTTTGATTGCAGTGACGGAGAGTTTCTTAACTGAGGCTGAAGTGCGTCTCACCCAGCAGCTGCCCCGGCCTGCTGTGTGGCAGGGAGACAGGTCTTGAGTGGGATGGGAAGGACCCTCTGCGTGCGACGGTCAGGATAGCGCACCACTAAACGCGTGTTTTCAATACAATAACCCTGTGATAGGAAGCAAACACACAACTCGAAGTCCATAGGGATATTCTTCAAAAACAGACAGAGGACTGAAAGAGGAGGGCCAGATGAGTACTCACATTTAGTTTCTCCATGGCACGAGCAGCCATGTTTGCATTCTTGAAGTTGACAAAGGCACAGAATCTCTCATGCAGAACACGGACACTCTCGATCTCACCATACCTAAGATGCAAAGCAAACAGCTTTAACCACCTTGGTTAAGTATTAAATACACACACAAGTGTTTGCTGAAATGTCTTTCCAATGATTGAATTAGGAATAGGATGTTGTGTTTATATAGACCTATTTCAAGTCATGAATTAGGTTAGTTAGTACTGTAATGGACTACAGTCTTACAATATAAAAATGTCCCATAGATGTTTCTCAGTCAACTCAGTGGTCACATTTCCCACCCACAGCGATGGGCAAGGGCTTCTGAAGGAGAGACAAAGAGAAAGCATGTGACTGAAAGCAATTCCATCACAGCTCAGATACAGAATGTGCTGGAACCCTTCTGACCCGTGGCTTTGATTGGACAAACAAATTGTCACCTACCCTGGTTGCACAACTGACGGATCTTGGCTCCCAGCTGCAGAGGAAAAAAAAACAAAAAAAAAACGCTTCATCAATCGAGAGAAAAAAGGCTGTAGGATTTTTAACATATAGTGGCTAGCCCATTGCTGCTTAAATTCCTCTTCAGTGTTCCAGAGAGGAAAGGCTGGCCCTCTTTAATACGGACATGTGATCTTACCCCTGGCAGCAGCATCGGCACAAGATGCCAGAACAGCCTGCACAGTTGAAAACTTCTCCAGCAGTAGGACACTCTGCACCTCTTCAAAACCAAGCTCCTGAGGAAAGAAGAGAAAAAAAATGAATGACCAGTCATGGAAATAAAATCAAAAGGAATTAAATTTGATAGTAAAGTTCAGAGGAAGCTGGAGTTATTTTCATTTACAGCTATCAAGCTCACAGGAAACACCTTGCCACTTTGTTTGAGGGTGTGTTTACCATTAACTGCAGCACTTTGCAGTTGAAGAGGTCATCGACAGCCTCCTCACAGTCTTTGTCAAATTTCAGCACCTGCTCCATGGCCTTCTCTGCCTCACTGTACCGCTACAACGCACACGGAGACCCACAGACATGAGTTAGTAAAGGCTAATCTTACCACACCATGAGCGTAAAGCTGTTCACTCAATATATTTCTTTGATTACATGATAAACACCCACCTGCATGCCCATGAGAGCACTGCCCTTGCGAAAGTGTCCTTTGGGCCAGTCGGGGGCCAGCTGAATGGAGCGCTCGGCGTCGGCCAGGGCCTGAGGATGCTGCTCCAAACAGTAATAGCAGTAGGAGCGATTCCCAAAGAACCTACAGGACGCAGTTTAATGCAAAAAAGAATATCTTACACGTGCCTAGAATGTGTGGATTTCCTTGATGATCAAATAGTCCTGAAGTACCTGTAATCCTTTGGATCACATTTGATGGCTTCTGTAAACATACTGGCAGCTTGTGCGTACTGCCCCTCTTGCACCAGCTTTATGCCTTTTTCTGCTAAAAAGAAAAAATGCTTGTAAATAATTCTCTGGTGGGTCGGCAGCCCGAGGGGCTCAGCTGACCGCAGTGCTGCATGCTGACATACTTGCACAAAGAAAACTAAAATCAATAATTTCCTCTAAGGCTATGGTTCTTTGTCAATGAATAACCTATTTAAAAAAGGCTGCTTTTGTGCCCCGTTATGCAAAGAACAATTCGTACCCGTCAGTGACGACGCGCTCTTCTTGGTCATGGTGTCAGTTCCATTTGTCTGTAAACAAAACATTATTTTTATCAGTTCATATTCAGGTAGTGCTCAAGTGATTAGATTTGTCTTTTCAAATCAGATGCATAGATACTATGACAAAATAATGCATAAGTACATCTTTTAGATGCGTGTTTTGGTTTTATACTTCTACTTTGTTTTGTCATTAATATATAATAGTCTGACATGTATTTTAATAACCAAGCTTCATCCCACAGCTGACACACACGCCCAGAGTCCACTTTTCCACATACCAGACTTTGGAACTGTCAGAGCAACATATTGATGCCACAAGAACAATCGTGCACAGCTATGATGGGAGGTCTTGCTATAGCTTCTCATCTTATATCATCTCTTAGCATTCATTCACCTCTCTCCTGGCCTCGTTCTCCTTGTTCTCTTTGGACTTGCGGCTTGTTCCTTTGGGTTTGATATGGCTAGCAGCATTAGCAAAGAAGGCACTGCTCACATCCCACTCTGGCTCCTGTGGGACACAGAAAGTTTTGCCATCCAGGCCTACAAGCATGCGGGCTTTTATATCAAACACATACTAGCCTAACTGATTCTCCACTGTGGCGTTTGGCTGGAGTTAAAACCTGCATACCGAGTCTTGGCCACTGGTTTATAGCTACACATTACAGCAGCAGAGACTTCAGACATGCAGAATATTCTAGTACACTTCCTCTACCTCTTCAGTGGATCTGACGTGGGTTTTCGGATGTCCTTTGATTCCTGCAGGAGCCATCGCTGGAGTGGCGACGTGGTTGTGTGAGACAGCCTCCTCTTTCTCCTCTTCAGCACCAACCTCTGCTTCCGACTCACTATCATCCAGTTCAGACTCTGCACCCCCATCCTCGTCTTCATCGTCCTAATGTGTGGGACCATATAAAGAACCAGTTTTTTTTTTTTCCACAGTAAAGGCAAATGTAGAGTGCATTCCTAGAAGGAATAATGTGATTATTACCCGTTCGGCACTCTCATTTTGCTTAACCTGCTCCTGCTTCTTACGTTTTCGACGGCGCTGAAACAGATGCAGTGCTCGACACATCAGAAAATGCATGACTTGGATAGCATAATAGACTTTACTTATAAAAAACAAGCAGGATGTTTAAGGGGTGTGTGTGCTGACCTTCCTCTTGGCTTTGCGTCGCTCTGCCCTTCTTCTGACCTTCTCCTCTTCACTCAGATCCTCCTCTCCATTTAATGCATCCTGAACAAACAGGCATTATTGAACATTGCACCTTCAGCCCTTGCAGCCCTGACAATGCCCCGCCAGTCTGACACGATTTGTTTACCTGTGACAAAGTGGCATCATCACTCGGGTCAAGGTTTGCGGCACCACAGTCCATCTGCTCCTCCTGCTGGATGGGGGGGCCTGATGGGAAACAAACACACACACACACACACACACACACACACACACACACACACACACA